TACATTGGGTATGTGAAATAATGATTTATTCAAATAAAATGGATATGTTCTATGACAATGTTGAAAACGTGGATATAATTGTCGGGACACATTTTCCAAGCACTTCTCAGTAGAGCACATCGTCGCGTTGCAGTGGGCGTAGTGCTGTGTGTTGGGAAAGGGACATTTCACCTAAAGACATTTCACCAAATTCTTTCCAAAACTTTCTTTTTTGTATTTTATCAATAAAATTTAAAAATATAAAACGAGAGTTAGTATTTGGTCATATTGTTTCAAAAAATTACACATTTTTTTTGTTCTGTCAGTTTTAACACTAACAATTTCAAACCAACTTATTTGACACTACATAAATTAAATTACCCAAAAATACAAAATTTTAAACAAGCTATTTCAAAACTAATTATTCAAACTAATAAATATTTTCATTTAATGAACACATAAGACTTTAAAAAGAAAATATTTTTTTATTACAAATTAATTATATTGTTACAATGATAAATATGGATATAAATATTAATTATCCACATAATTGCAATTAATATAGTTAATTTAATATCTATTTTTAATCATATTTATAAAAAAATTAATTCAATAAGAGTTAGTCGGAAAACGTTGTCTTGTCGCAGGGATATCAAGGAATTGGACCTAATCTGGAAGTTAAGAAAAAAAGAGGGAAAAAACTCTTTTTTTTTCAAGTTTTGATTGATTTGTTCAGAAAAAAATCGCTGTTTTATTGAAATAAATAATCCCATTTTTTTCCGAAAAAAAATGAACCACATAAAGGCAAATTCAAAAAAAAAGAAAAATTTATCGTTTTTTATTCTACTAATTAAATGGTTGGATAATGGGTTTTTGGCTTTCTATTGCAGTTAAATAATAATCAATTGAACCCCGAAATTTAAGTCAAAAATACTTATATAATTCAAATATTTTTCTATTAGTTATTGATAATATTATCTATTATAATTAATTGTGATTAAGAAACAACCTTATCGGAAACCAATTATAAAATTTTAAGAACTTTACTTGCTTTTTTTGTTTAATTATTTCCGATATATTTTGAATATTTATGTCTGTTGTTTTTGAAAAGAACAAAGACTTTTTGGAAAAAATCTTAGACATAACATTTATCACACAACAAAAGAATTATCTAAGTTTTTTTCAAAACAAGTTAATCTTTCATCGACAAATTCATATTTCAAAACGACAATGGACAACCCCAAGAAAACAAGAGATGTAATGAAAAGACGAGAAAAAAATATAACAAAGAACATCAATAAACATGCAACAATCCCAGTGTACTTCAAGTCGAGGAAAAGATTTACTATTGTCCGTTTTGTTCCAGGTGTTTTTTGGATCAATGTAATACAACTCATTATTTAAAATGTCCTAAATACTCAGTACAAAAATTTAATTTAATGCAGGAGGATTTGAAAAGAAGAAAGACTCGATATATAAAAGAGGCTCAAAGTGCTGCAGAAAAGTATATAGAAGAACCTCGCCATCAAAGACCAAAGAAAGGAAGCAAGAAGCAACTTGATTTTGACGTTGAAAATGAAATGGAAGATGACAATACAGTGATTGGGGAAATGAACCTTGAAACACCTGTGGATGAAGACATGACAACGAACAGTGAACACAATAATTGTAGTGAAATGGAAGATGAAAAAATAGAAGGAGAAATAATGATGGAGTGCTCAGACAATATAAGACAAACGATTGAAAAGGAAGTTTATGAGAAGTCTAAAGCCCCAAATGGGGATTACATAGTAATAGCAAAGGAAATGAAATCAGAAATATGCTCGAAGACTGGAACAACTGGAGAAAAAATGATAACTTGGCCGAAAAGAGTTACATTTTTTCTTCAATTGCTGCTATTGCGGAAAATAAATATGGTTTTAGTCAATCACAATGTAAACTGGTGGAACAGCTTGTGGGTTCATTTGGGACATTATTCTGCGACGAGTTTGATAATATTTGGAAAAGCATCCATATAAGTCATTCTTATTGTCTCAATATTCTTCAACGGTTGAGTAGCAATGAAACTGAAATAACAAAACGCCAATTTGATGAGTGTGTCTGCTTTGGTGTTGCCTTTGATACGGCGAAAAAAATGGTAGTGAAATTTTGGCTCTTGTTTGTAGACTTGCGTTCTCAGACAATTCAATAGTCCAAAAGACTCTGATTGTGGCTGAATTTTTTGAGAAGTGCTCTGCGGTAAACATGAAATATTGGCTACTTGAAGTTCTTAAGTCTTTCAATGCTCCATTGCTCAAACTGGTTTTTTCAACAACAGATGGGGCCAGTTCAATGATTGGGAAAGAGGGAGGCTTTTCAAAGTTGGTGTGTGACGCAAAGCTTTTGAACATCATTCAAAGAGAAAGGGAGAAAAAACAAAAGAATAGTGATTATCATCTTCCATTTGATTTAGTCACATTCACGTTTTTCACTGTGTATTGTATGTGTCATCGATTGAATGTCGCGGAAGGATTTATGTGGGCAACAGATGACGCCGAAGTTTTTCTGTGTTTTTTAAAGTGGCTTTGCTCTGATATCACAATAACTGCTTGGAAGGCATTTTGGGGAAGAAAGAAAATGGATGTCGCGGCGATTCCAACACTTTCAAACACCAGGTGGTTTTACCATCAACTTTTGGTAAAATTTTGCTTTGAAAATCTTGAAAAGATCGAAATTTTTGTGAAGGAACTGGAACTTGAAAATGAAATTGTCGCAACCCTTGTCAAGCACCACAATGAAAGTAAAGAGAAGAAGAAACAACAAGAAAATAAGAGGAGAAAGGAAAAAAATGAACCACTCACAGGACACAACTACATACGACTTCTACTTCTTCATGAATAAGGAAAGGAAATCTTTTAAAATAAGAGATCCGGCCTTCCTGGCATTCCTGGGTTTTTTCTTCGACTTACTCACTGAGGCTAAGTGCCTTTGTGATGCTCTCCAAGAGAAGTTTGGCTTATTTGTTGATGAAGTAAATAAAATTGATACATACTTAGATGACCTGAGAAAAAAGAAGGAATTGTGCGAAAGGGGGGATATTTTACCATTCAAATCGGCTTGCAAATATCTTTATTTTGATTCCCCAATTATTATAAATAGTTGTGAACGTGTCTTGGGAAGTTATCTGGGAGCATTGGAGCTCCGGTTCTGCAATTGGACCACTGTAAAGCCTGGATCAAAAATCGAAGAGTTGGAAGAAGTCAAAGAAGAATTGGATGAATTTCAAAATATCGAACCGCTTTTGGAATCCTTTCTATTTCCAGGGAAATTCCTTTATGACAACATACTGCCTCCCAAGACCTCATTTGACCAGTTGAATGAAGAGCTTTGTGTACTCCAAAATCTGGTTTGGGAAAATCAAAAGACATTGAAAGAGGCGTTCACTGAACAGGAGAAGAAAAATTTCACGTTATTGGAAGCCATACAGATATTTGACAAAGTCGATTTTCCTATTATATCCCAATTGGTCAAAATTATGTTATGTCTCATCCCCACATCTTCCTGCGTCGAATCTGTATTTTCTCATTTCAAATATTCAAGAAAATCCAATATGAAGGTGGACACGGTTAACACAAGGTTAATTCTGAAGTTGGCGACAAACAGTGTGTCTCGAATGGAACTTGTTTCAGACCATTGAAGAGCCAACCAAACAATGATTTAATACTATTAATTTACTATTAATTTACTATTAATTTAATTATTTTTAAACCAATTTCCTTTAAAATGTTTTTCCTTTTTTTTAATAAACATTTTTCTAAAAAAATGTTATTCAAATGCCCATTTTTTTCTTGATTCTTAACTTCCAGATTAAAAATTCTTTGATAGCCCTGCTTGTCGCCAACGTTGTCCTGGGCTTTTTGTCAATGAAAATTGGATAATATCGGGATCATGTTCGAAATATAAAAAACTTCGTTTCAGTTTTTTCCCAAATTTTTCAACTTTTACCTTATCCCCGGGTTTTTAAACAAATATTTGTGTATAAATTGATAAAAAGGACAACGTTTTACAACAAACTCTATCACACTTTTTAATGTAAAACCAAATTCAATTATGAAAACTAATATTTAAACTGAAATCAATATGGGTTAATAAAAAATCTTATGAATAATATTTGAATATAACAAAGTTAATATTATCAATTTTATTTTATTTTAATATTTTATTTAATAAATTAAACTGTTTTTTTCAAAAAAGTTTATCACATTAAATACTTGATATTTAAATAATAATTAAATAACAACTTTTGTATAAAGATGATTTAACAATTTTTAAATTATACAATTATATTGTTTACAAACAAGTTAAGGTTAAATGCATCAAACGAATATTATATTTAATGTTTGATTATCACGTAATATGATACTTATTCTATTTGCATTTTATAAGCTATATTTTAAAAATCAATTAAAAACATGATTTATATTTTTTTTAATATTATTATTATTGCTTATCTTAAAATATTTACAATATTTTAAGATATTCATTTTTAAAATTGGAACTTCAATGTTTTGAGATCAATAATGTTATTTTGAACAATTAAAAATTTCAGAAAGCTTTTAAACAATTTAATGAAATATTATATTTATCAATATATATTATAATAATTAATTACAGTCAAATATGCCTATTTGTTAAAAATGTGTGAATAGAAAGTTTGTTTAATATTAAAAGTTTGTTCCAAGAAATAAATACCAGTTTTAATCAAACATAAATTTAAGATTCAAATACAAGATACTAAATTGTTTTATATCTTAATTATTAGTTGGTTTCAAATAAAAAACAAGTTCAAAAAACAATTTTACAATATAAAAAACTCTTCAAACTGTTTTTATTTATTCAATAATCAATAAAAAACAAACAAATAATTTTGTTTGTATATTAAAAATCTATATTAATTATGTTTCAATTTAAAGGTTATTATATTAAACGGTTATTATAAACATGAACATATATCAATACTCATTTAAGTTGCGATTTTCTTTAAATTCTCTGTCAATTTTTTGAATCAAAGAAAGACGCCGTTTTCTTTTTTTAACACTTGTTGTAATATGTTTATCACATTTAAATATATCATTTTGTTCTTCAATTTTCATTGCAACACCTTGAACACAACTCGAATAATGATCTGTTATTTCTTCTGATATATGATGACACGTTTCTTCTTCGTGTATTTCTAGCATCATTTCATCATTGTCCGATTTTTCTTCGTTTTCTGGAAAATCAAAAAATACTTCCATATTAAGTTTGTCAGTTGCTTGTATTGTCTTTTTTAAAAATTCTTCCAAGTTAAGTTCTTCACAATAATAGTTGATAGTCAAATTTTTCAACAACTCGTTTACTTCATCTTGTTTTCTATTTGTTGGTTTAAAGTATCCATTTAAAGCTTTGTGATAATTCTTTTTGGTTTCATCAATAATGCCTTCAATTGTCTCAACAAACTTCCAAAATGAAGGTTTGGATAAAGCTAATAATCTCGAAAGTGTTGAATGATAAACTTCACAGTCATTGTTAATTCTCTTCTCTCTCATATATTGACACCAAAGTTCAATCGGATATAGTCCATACACCCACACTCTTTTAAAATATTCAAAAACCTTATTAAAATCAATTGTGTGGACGTAGAGTGCACCAACGAAATTTACAGCAAATTCAATATCACAATGTTTTAGGTAACAAACGGCTTCTAACATCTTAATTGAAAATCTGAAATCTCCATCATTCAAATATTTTTCTTTCAACCCCAACGTATTTATATACTTGTTTATTGCTTGACGTTGGTGAAACATACAACCATGGTGTTTAACTTTTTTAAATTCTTTTAGAACAGAAATAAGAGAATTTTCAAAATCGGTTATTACATCAATATCTCGTTCGAAACAAGTTGCATTGCAATTCTGTTCTTTTATTAATTTTTCAATTGCTGTGACAAGTTGTTTATAGATAATTTTGTTTTTTTCTTCGTCAAACAATGCAAAATGGGATATATTTGGCCATTTTTTAATTGGCAGTGAATTGTATATAATTGATAAAATTGACGTGGACAACTTTGAAAAGTACCATCCATCATAACAGATGTGCACCTAGCAAGCATCATTAATTGTTCTGTATCCCCAAAGATGAAGATGTTTGAGTCATCACTTTTAAAAATAAGTTTTGATTCACCTACAGATAAATCAATTTCTTCACATGTTTTCGGTTCTTTTTTGTTGGTAAGTTTCGTTGAACATATTTTTCCAATGTTTCAGACTTCATACCTATTGAACTACGAGTATATTTTCTTATAAGAATTCTTCTTGGAGTTGATTTAGCTTGATTAGTTTTGAGATCTTTTCTTATAAAATTTATATAATTCTTTTTTAATAAATTTTGTTTTTCGTGTTTATGAACGTTATTTCTGCCATACAAAAAAGTACCATCTTTTTGTTTGTTTATAGTGACTTTACAACCTTTAACAGAACATCTAAAATTCATTCTCCTTTTATTTATTGGGTGAAATAAATATCCATCAACAACAGGTAACTCCTTATCTCTTTGACTATTGATACTCATCGTACAACACATAAATACAAAATAATTAAAAATTATTTATAGTCATAATTAAAGTCACAAAAATAATCAACAATTCAATTACATTTTAATAAAAAGTGACATAAAATTGTAATTTATTTAATTTTATTGTGTTTCAATTTTTATATTTATTATGGATTTTTATGTGTTTTTATTTGTGATAATAATTATTTAAAAAAGTGAGTAAATTAAAATTGTTATGATTTTTAATTAATTGAAAATAAAATTAAATATTATATTATTTTATATATTTAAATACTTTATGATGATGGTTATGATTATTAGTTTGAATAATTAGTTTTGAAATAGCTTGTTTAAAATTTTGTATTTTTGGGTAATTTAATTTATGTAGTGTCAAATAAGTTGGTTTGAAATTGTTAGTGTTAAAACTGACAGAACAAAAAAAATGTGTAATTTTTTGAAACAATATGACCAAATACTAACTCTCGTTTTATATTTTTAAATTTTATTGATAAAATACAAAAAAGAAAGTTTTGGAAAGAATTTGGTGAAATGTCTTTAGGTGAAATGTCCCCTAATCCTGTGTGTTGCTTTGTCAAACTATTATGAAACTATTTTTTAGGCGTTTTTTGGTTTCATAAATTAAACTTAAAGGATATGGGAAAAGATAATTAGAACATTGCTGCTTGAGTCTCCGCTTTAAAATCTCCCCACAATGTTGAGGTGTTCCAAGACTTCACTTCCTTCAAAGGAACTTCCTCTTTGAGGATCTCTAAAACCGTCTTGAACATTTTCAACGAATTATTTCGTGTTTCTCCGTCATTACACACCGAGTTGATAATTGTAACTTTCAAAACCTTTTCGGAGCTTTTTATAAAAATAAAATGTAATTTGCATTTTTTTAAAAACAGTTTCTTGTGAAAAAAAAGAAACTTCACCTAAGTTACCCTTTGAGTTTGAGTGAAGCAAATAGACGTGTGAAGGCGCCATTTCTTAAACACAATTAACAAGTCATTGCAAAAGTTTTTGAAAAGCGACTGCACTACAGTCGACCGAATTTGGAAAACAGACAACTTTTCATCTCAGTAGAGTGACATTGCTGTTGTTGGGGTTTGAATGTGGTCGTATACCGGAGGGGCTACATATAGTAAGAGTGCTTCGTTTTGTATATGTGAAAAAGTGTTTATTTGTAAGTCTGCACATAGTTGATTAACATTTCCAATAGTGAGGCAAAACTTGTTGTTAATAGAGTTTGAAATCAATCTGATGATTAAAAGCGTCAATAAAGTTTAAAACAAACAACAAAAACTTGAGTCCCTTGATGAGTGATGTTCGTTGTAAATTTCATCATATTTTTTGTTTAAATTTTCTTTTTACAGAATTGAAAATTATAAAGGAAACAATACAAGCAACTAGAAACGATAAAACAAAATCCAAATTAGCAACACCCTTCATTATTATTGTCGTTGGGACTTCCAATTGCAGCCCTTCCACTTTGGTTAATCTTTCTTTTAGCAAGAGCAGCTTTTTGGAAGACTTCACTGACACCTTGTCCGCTGTATGAGGAACACAAAACAAGGGGATACCCGACCTTTTTAGCATACCTTTTCCCTTCATCATCAGAAATAACTTTCTCAAGATCACACTTGGCTGCTACAAGAACAATCAAAATATTATCGCCCCCACTTTTCTTGGTCAAGTCAATCCAGTAATCCAAACTCTCAAAAGTATCGCGGCGAGTCACATCATAGACAATTATTGCGCTTGTAGCACCTCGGAAGTACACTGGCATCACACTTCTAAATCTTTCGTCTCCAGAAGTGTCCCACAAGTTCAACTCAACCTTACCATTTGGTGTCTCACTGTACATTAGTTCCAATTTTAAAATTGAAGGTCCACTGCTGGAATCGCAATTTTAACAATAAAGTGTAAAAAACAAACATTACTTGCTTCAAAAACGAAGAACCAATTGTTGCATCGTGTTGAGTGTCAAAAGAGTTTTGAGAGAATCTGATGAGCATGCAAGTTTTACCTAAAAGTGAGTAATTACAAATTCCCTTTATATTAGAAGAACAGTTGGGTATACATAGTAAAAGTTCGATAATCATATTATATTCAAA